AACAATCAATTAAACTCAAAACAATCGGTCAAAAACCTCAATTCCATCACAACCTAGAAAATCCTAGGGTTCCACCAAAAAATCCTCAGAAATTCCAAGAAAGAAAGTAGATTAGAGGTTAAAATCACTTACTTGAGGTAATGGATCCTTAGAAATGTCTTTCCTAAGCCTTAACACCGAAACCCTAGCAGAGCTCCTCTCTCCTCCTTCAGATTTTCTAATTTTCGCACAACTGAACCCTCCAGCGTCTATATAGATTCGGGACCTTTCGCCACGGCGGACTAATCCTGAGAGGGATTACTCGCCTGAAAACCCCACTTCGCCGCGACGAAAGCTTCCCGAGAGGAAACTCTCGCTCGCCCAGAAAACATTCGCCGCGGCGAAACCTTCCCGAGAGGGAAACCCTACTCACCTGAGCAACTTCGCTGCGGCATCCCTAAGACTTCACCGCGGCCAAACCTGCCCGAAAGACAAACCCTACCTGGAACTCCCGGTGCGCTGCGGCGAAGTAAAACTTCGCCGCGGTGAACATACCCTGAGAGGGATACGTTTACCTATTCCTCCAACATACCTCAAATCTAACCCAAACACCAAGATCAAGATTAAATCGCTAATCTATCCTCAAAATCAACCAAAAGAGGCTATTAAAATCCGATAAAACTCAGGATGTTACACTTGCAAGGTTCACTATTTACTTGGTGTAATAAATAATTAAATGACATGCATGTCAAGGAGAGGATTGATAGAGCTTTGGGTAATCTTGAGTTGCAAGAGAACTTCCCTAATGCTCAAGTTTTTCATCTTGAGCCAATAGGATCAGATCATTTTATGTTGCTGATTGATCTTTGTTATTCTAGTATCAAGACCCCTTTTTCTTTCAAATTTGAGGTTGCTTGGATAAAGCATCATGATTTCTAGGTGATTGTTAAAGATAGTTGGGGCTCTTCGAATCTGAGGCTAGATGATAAATTTGAGGATTTTCTAGTTAGACTAGATTCTTGTAAAGAAGCTCTTATTTACTGGAGTAATAGCCAAATTGCTTCAAGCTCGTTGAGGTGTTGAAAAAATAGCTAGCTGATTGTTACAGTGATGACTATACTAAAGAGAAACTCTTGTAGGCTGAAACTATCTCCTCTTATTTGGAAAAAGTTTAGGAAAGAGAATAAGCTTATTGGTGGCAACATTCAAGAGTTTCTTGGTTAAAAGTTGGTGATAGAAATTCTTGGTTCTTTCATATTGCTACTATTAAGAGGTGTCATACTAATGCCATTCTTAGACTGAAGAAGGATGATGGCATTTGGGTGGAGGAGGAGAATAGTATTACTAAATGTGCTATTGGTTATTTCAATTCTCTGTTTACTACCTTTGGCCCTCATAATTTTGATGATGTCCTCGATTACCTGTATTGTAAAAGTGATTAGGCCTGCAATTTAAGCCTCATTGCCCCAGTTACTGAAACAGAAGATAAAGAAGCTGCTTTCCAACTCGATGGTACCAAAGCTTTTATGGGAAATTCTATCAGGGAATATGGAGTGAGGTTGGCAAGAATGTTGTAGATATGGTTAAAGCCTTCTTCAATGAAGCTGGTGATGTGGGAAAGTTGAATGAAACTAATATAGTCTTGATTCCTAAACTTGAAAAGGCAGAGATGATTACACAATTTTATCTTATCAGATTGTGCAACTTTTCCTACAAGATTATCTCTAAATTACTAGCTAACCAGTTAAAACCTTTTCTTGATTGTTGTATCTTTATCAATCCAAGTGCTTTTATCCCAGGAAGACTCATTCATGATAACATTATTATTGCCTGAGGTTTTTCATTACCTTAAGCGCAAAACTAGCAGAGGCAAGTATGAATTTGCTTTGAAAATGGATATGAGCAAGGCCTATGTCTGCATAGAGTGGGATTTCTTGGAAGCAATAATACTAAAGCTTAGTTTCTGCAATAAATGGGTTCACTTAGTTATTGCTTGTGTGTCCTTTGTGCAAGTGAATATTTGCCTTTCTGGGAGACAGATTAGCTCTATTACCCCTGGTAGGGGTTTAAGATAAGGGGATCCTCTTTCCCCTTATTTGTTTATTTTAGAAGCATTTTACTTCATCCTGAGCAAAAGGCTTTAAAAAGAATTAAACTTTCCAACCAGAGCCCCATGCTTTCACATTCTTTTTTCATGAATGATGCTCTTCTCTTTATGAATGCTAGTAGTGCTAATTGTCAAATTCTGGAGCATATAATAAATAGATACTGTGCAACTTCAGGACAACAAGCTAATTTGGGCAAATCAGGTCTTATCTTTTCCAAAAATACTCCAAATGATGTGAGAAACCAAGTCAGTCAAATCTTGGGCATACCTATTGTTTCTAATCTTGGAAAGGATTCAGGTATCCCAAATCTTTGGGGTAAATCTAAACAGCAAGCCCTTGCTTATGTAAAGTAGAAAGTTGGCAAGAAAGTTTAAGGTTGGCATCAGAATTTGTTGTCCTATGCAGATAGAGAGGTAATGATTAAGGCAATTGTCAATGCAATGCCTATTTATCCTATGACTTGCTTCAAATTCCCTCATAAAACTTGAAAGGATCTAAACAGTCTAATCTCTAATTTTTGGTGGGGAGAGAGTAATTTAGGGAGCCAAGTTCATTGGCACTCTTGGGAGCACATAACCCTTGCTAAATCTGAAGGGGGTGGGGTTTTGAGATTTTGAAGTTCTTAATGACTCACTCTTGGCAAAAACTGCTTGGCGATTAACTGAGAATGAGGAATCCCTCTAGTATAAGACCTTGAAGGGTGTTTATTTCCCTAACAGTACTTTCATGGCAGCAGAAAAAGGATACAGGGCTTCATGGTTTTGGTCTAGCATTTTAATAGGTCGAGATATGCTAAAAAAAGGCTGTCAATGGCTTATGGGGAATGGCAAGTCAATCTGCACCTAGAAAGATAATTGGATTTTAGGCCTCCAATGTAAATTTTTGAATCAGATTAGCAACCCTGAAATCTAATCTAATGATGCTGTTGATATGCTTATTTCAAATGGTGGTTGGAATCTATCTCCCCTTACTAGCCTGTTGCCTCCAGACATCCTATCCCTTATTAGCAATATCAAACTAGATTTTGTCTTCCACAAGGACAAACTAGTATGGTCTCTTGCAAAGAATAGTAGCTTCACAGGCAAACAAGGTTATAAACATCTAAAACTTTATTAGAAACAGATTCCTTTAAGAACTACTACGTCCTTCACTCTATCTAAAGATTTTTGGACTAGAATGTGGAAAATTAAGGCTGTTCCACGAATCCTCCATTTATTTGGAGATGCTGCTCTAAATCTATCTCTGCGAAGGATATGCTTTTTCGACGTCATTATGCTGTGAATCCTTTATGTCCAGTATACTTTGGGGCTCTTGAAACGATAGAACACTTACTGTTCTTCTGTCCTTAGGTTAGGTGTGTCTCCTTAAGGGTTAACCAAAGCTCTGTTTCTTCTTTTGAAGCTTGGTTTAATAATATCTTGTGCCATAACCAAAGTTTGCAAGACATTGACTTCTCTCTTATTGCGTGGCTGATTTGGGGTATTTGGAAGGAAAAAAACAAGATGGTTTTTAATGCTAAACCCCTAGAGCCTCAAAAGGTGCTTCTCAAGGCTCGGCTTAATGTTGTTGAATATCGGTCTGCTTCAGATACTGCTCCTTCTGACCTGGGAGTTAATAACAAGCCTTGTGCTATCATTTAGAAAGCACCACCCTCAGGATGGATTAAAATCAATTATGATGGCTCTTTTTTGAAAGAGGACCTCTCTGCTACAATTGGTTTGGTGTGTAGAGATAGTAATGGAAACTTCCTATGGGCTTTTGGTGATTACGTTCAGTATCATTCTGCCTTCACCTGTGAACTTTTAGCCATCAGGGAAACCGTGTTGATTTCTGGGGAGCTTGAACTATCACGGGTTCTCCTTGAATCTAATAATGCTAATTTGGTGAATTGCTTGAACTCCTCTTCTCTTGCTCTCTGTGAATGGGCTGGCAGGCATCTCCTTAAAGACACTCTAGAATGGGTTGCATCGTGTTCGGGTCTCTGTTTTTCTTTCTCTCCTCGAGAAGGAAACTCTGCTGTTGATCACTTGGCAGTCACTGTACGTAGGAAGGTATGCCCTTCGGGGTGGGTCTCTACACCCTTGCCTTCTTTAGCTTCATTCTTGGCTTGTGATGTGGCTAATTCTGTATGCTTCGTTGAGGATATCTCCAACATTTGTTCACCTGAGATCAATAGGGACTGGGAAGGAATAGGCTAGTTAAGTTTCATTTTCTTGTTATGTTTCGTTGCCTTTATTTTCTTCTCTAGTTTTCCTTCTTTTAGACTTTTGTTGTGCTTCCCTTTTGTCGTTTTTGGTTATGGAATGAAAAGTATTTTCAAGGCCCAAAAAAAAACAGCTAAAGGGCAGGACAATTTTCAACATACTTATACCCAACCCAATTTGTCAACCAAAACGTTCTAAGAGAGGAGAGGAGAGAAAGTTTCGAACCTCGAAATGGACCAAGACGTTGAAGACAGAAAATGCTTGGACTTCACTAATGGCAATGGGAAAAATGTTCCATCAATGACTACTTGCTTCTTTCTCATGTAAAGAAGCTTCAAGACGTAAGAAATCAGTTCCCCCTCTTTCTTTCCAGTGTTTCTTTTGTCTACAGTACTAGAGGCAAAGAAGCATGTTCTCAGTTTACTAAATTGCACTGAGGTTTTCTTGGAACTTGTGATTAATTAGGAGGTTTTTAGAGATCTTTTTACGGTATTTTCTCTTATGTGGGAGTTCAGTACTATTTTCCCACCAAATAATATGATTGCTACCAAACTAGTGTTCGGTTTACTAACTCGATATTTCATATTATATGCAACGAAGTCGTTTGACGCTAGGATGGGCGGCGGAGAAAACAAACAGCAGAGAGAAGCCAATCGCTCCGCGTTGTCGGCGGATTTATTTCTGCAATAGATGGCGAGGAGCTGCCAGTCACGAGGCCACGTTTAGCAGCGGAAAAAACTGCCAACTTCAATGCTAATTGCTCATCCATTGCCATTCCCATTACTATTAGTCGGCCTGTTTATGCTCATCAACCCACCTTCCCTTCTTTCTCCTCTCTTCCCATTTCTCTCTTCCCCCCTCTCGGTCTTTGTCTGTTGAGCAAATGGATATTCCAAGTGCCTGGGACAGTTGGGTCGGCGAGGCACTTGCAAGGCTTGAGTCCCTCAAAGTCCTTCGATCTTTGAGACCCATTTGTCTCCGCAAGCAAAGTACACAATTACTTGTTGAGAATCACAAACAATATGCACCGAACCTGGAAAATGACGTGGCGGATGATGAAGAATTCGAGGTGTTCGACGAATTGCGCCCCTGGGATCGCTCGTCTGTGGAGGTAGAAATTGGAGAACCCACATTTAACAAATGGATGCATGACATCCCAAGTCCTGGTAACTTTTTACTCTTTAAGTTTCAAGTTTGATGAGTATATTTAGTCTGCTTTCACGGCATGTACTCTTCTCAAGCCGTTAGCGAGTAACAAATTTTAGGAGACTAACTCACATTGGAGAATAAATGCCAAGACTAAGCATTACAATCTATGCCTTTCAAGGAGCAAATTGTATATTTACTTTGTGCCATTTCTACTTATTATGACATTCAACTTAATTCATTTCTGCTCATGCTTGCAAATTTTGGTGTTTGCCTCAATTTAGTTCGGTTATCGGACATTTTGTTTCATTTTCTGATGTCAACTTGACATTTAACGAAGACTTTTTTGAGTATAGGCGATGAGATTGTCCATAGTCCATTTATTAGTAAAGACCCCCAGAGCCATCATCAACAATTGAAAAAGTTAATTCTGTTTTCTGGAAACGATTATCTTGGCTTAAGTTCTCATCCGACTATTGGAAGGGCTGCTGCAAAGGTGTTCTGGATGATCTTCCCTTCAGTAATCTTTGAACTACTTTCCCTCCTCTTTTTTCATTTTAATCTTCTGAACACTGTCTTCTCAGTTCATTTTGTTTCAGCCTACAGGTATTAACTATCTTTGACCATTTTTCTATATCAGGCAGCCCTAGAGCATGGAATGGGACCAAGAGGGTCGGCTCTTATTTGTGGGTATACAAATTACCACAGTCAGCTGGAGTCTTGCTTGGCAGATTTAAAGAAGAAAGAGGTGTATAAACTGTTTTGTAGTAACTCCTTGAACTGTAATATCTGGCAATGCTTTGTAGGTTGATCTCATATATAATAATTAGCCATTGTGATTTAACTTAGTACTGTAGAGTAGGGGACTCAAATCATATATATTTTATATTAAAGACTGAGTTGTTGCTTACTCAACATGCGTTCTGCATTATCGCATCATGTTCTAGGCCAGACGCTGTCTGAGGTTACTAATAATCATGAAGATTAGGGGAAAATAGCATCCTTGGTATTCATTTTAGTGATGAGGAAATCTCATTTGCTAAAGTCTGACCTTAGTTGTCATGCTTCTGCTTTACATGACCTGAATACTGTTATTAACGGTTGTTGTCCCCTGTCAATCAATTATTTCATTTGTTTGAGATTAACATGTGGTGCAGCTATATGAAATTGAAATTATAACAGCTTATTTATATGTTCTTTTTTATTTTTTATTTTGTTTTTCGGTTACCTTCAACAGCTATGCTATAATCTAATTTATCTGCAAAATGTACTTATTAATAGAACAGTCAGTTATACTTTTTCAGTCCACCATCCTCAAATTCAAAGGAATTTTACACTTTTCTGTCTTTATGGAGCTACCTCCTAATTAGTGAGATAATGAAAGGACCAAATGTGATAATAAGCCTGGGTGGTACATATTGCTGACAAGTTTTTGGTTTAAAATCCATGCTATAGGATTGCCTTCTTTGTCCAACAGGGTTTGCAGCCAATATGGCTTTGATGACAGCAATAGGAAGTATTGGTTCTCTCTTGACTGAAAACAGCATACCTTCAAAGGATGAAAAAATAGCCATATTTTCTGATGCGCTAAACCATGCATCAATAATTGATGGTATCCGTCTTGCTGAGCGACAAAAGTGTGTGAAGGTGTTCATTTACAGACATTGTGATGTGTCCCACCTTAATACGCTCCTGTAGGTTTCCCCTTCTCTCTGCGGTTCACTCGTTTGCATGGAAATTTCTCTTTTGTTCCATTCACAGTATGTACATTATGTTTACATTGTTGCAACACCTATATGCTTAACAGATCACGCTGCAGAATGCAGAGAAAAGTTGTTGTGACTGACAGGTAACTCATTATTTCTGCTGTTACATGCTGCTGTTGGATTTTCATTCTATTCTCCTGTTTTAGAAATAATTAATCCATCTTTGTCTTCCTTGCCTACAGCCCCATATATTTTAAAAGATGGCATCTCTTTTATATATAATTGCACCTATTAGGTAAGAGGAAATGTTTCCCTTGAAAGATGTTTAATTAGGCGGATGACTAGTAATGTATCTAAGTTTTAAATGTTGTTAGTTTTAGGACTAATATTCTGAAACCTGTAGCATTGGTTGATTGAGATAGGGAGATGTTTGTAATTGATGATTCAGTGATCAAGCTGGCTCAACTGGGGACAGCTTTTCCTTCCGGAGTGCCTTGACTCTGACAATGAAGAAGCCATCAATCCATCATTATGTCAATTATTGCAAGCTAATATAATTATTACTGGTTTCTGATTAAATTATTTATTATGTAATAAAATTGTTTTACATTCCATTTATCATTTTAAAACTTACTTTCAAACACTGCCGAGCGCAAAATTTAATAGTCCAATTTTTATGCTCAGATAAGAACTTTAATTTTCTAATATAATTAAATATTTGATATTTGATGCTTAATATCAATATGTATTTGATACTTAGCCATAGTTCTCGCATGGAACTGTGAGCCGCTCCCTTTCCCAGTCTAATAATTAGTTTTACATTAGAATTTGTAAGATATGAATATTCTTTGGCCCATTTTCATTCTTATAATTAGAAATTTCAACATGATTATTATTTGTAATATACACATTGGAAAATGCATGGTTTAACAATGGCAGGATGAGCAAATGCTCAAACTTCAGTCAAAACTTAACAATTTATCTGCTGTAAGTATAATAATATTATGATGGAGAGCCGCATTTGCCGTCAAAATCTTGTCAATTCTCTAGATACAAGACATTGCATGGGGACCATGAATTCTGTTTCTATAAAGTGTTAGTTAGGCAGCGGCGTGCTGGCCAAAAAACAAAAAAAAGGTTAGGCAACGACATATGTTGTGCGTAAATCTTTTGTGTTCCTTTATAAAGCCATAACTATCTATCTTTGATAAAAATCAAAGGCCATTTGAATTATGTAGCTGTCACGCCAGCTTTTCCATATCTGATGGTTTTGATTTTTAACACGTTCATCATTCTTTTTAGAGAGAGAATAGAAGGAGTATCGTCCATATAAGATAAGATTTAATGAGTGGTTATTCAAGAACATATTGTTTGCTCATCAATGCTTGATCAAAGGACAAACACATTGGGTTTTGGCTTCAGCTACTTATGTCTAGTTGATCTGTATGTGCTCCTTGCTTGATCAAAATGGTTTGTGTGATGGAAATACGCTACTTGGTGTTGACAGAGATTTATAAATCGATTATTGATTATGATTTCATATTCCTGATGTCAGTTATACATGATTTTATAAATATGATTTTCTGTTTGCAATCATGCATTGTTGTTATTGCAGCTTGTTCAGCATGGATGGAGACTATGCACCCATGGTCGAGCTTGCAAACCTTCGTAAGAAGCATGGGTTTTTATTAGTCATTGACGATGTAAGCCCTCTTGAATTGTGCCATCGAATGCATGAAACCCACCTTGTGCATTTATGTTCATGATACTAGATTGAAGTTTTAATACGATGTTACACAACAAGCATAGGAGATCTATAATATAATATTGCTGCGCTGGAGAATGGGGCATTTTTTAAACTGTCATATTTAGTTGGCGGTTCTCTTGTTTCTCCATTAATCTCGTGAAAAGAAAAATATTTCACGGACTATACCATGTCAATAGTGCTGCTATGGTTACCCTGTATGAGAAATGTTCACTTCTCTATGCCTGCATTGTTTAATGCAATTATAAGATATCAAAAGTAAAAATATGATTTTCTTCAGGCTCATGGATCTTTTGTTTGTGGCAAAAATGGTGGTGGAGTTGCTGAGGAATTCAATTGCGAAAGAGAAGTTGACTTGTGCATTGGAACATTCAGTAAAGCTGCTGGCTGCCATGGGGGATTCATAGCATGCAGGTAATTGTTTTAGTAAATTTCGCGTGAGTTTCATGCTTCTTTATCTAATCTTGTTTCCTTTTTCCGGAGGGAAAGGAGCAGAAGAGGGTGGGGCTGGGAGAACTCCTTTTTTTTTTTTTTTTTGAAAACGCACAGATGGTATAGATTTCTTCAATGTCTCTTATGAAATTGTTGTGCATTAATGCAATTGTGGTGTTTTGTGCGTTGTGGCAGCAAAAGGTGGAAGTTACTCATACAATCAAGGGGTCGATCCTTTATATTTTCCACTGCCGCACCAGTCCCAGTGGTGGCTGCTGTTCACGGTGAACTGTGTCCCATAGTTGAATTAAGTACTTAGAAAATATAACTTCACTTTTTTTTTGGGGGGAAAAAACAAGAAGAATTATATGCATTAGTTTTACCTATTCTGTTTTGTGGTTTCATTTCATTTGTGACTGTACGTCTCTCTCCTCAATTTTGTAAAGGATTAGGCTTTTGATAATGTCAATCCCACTTCTAAGATCAGCATTGGGTAATGATGTTCAACTTTCTCCATACTATAGAGCTTACTAAATGTAAACCCAATGCACCCATTTGTATGTGTCCCCATTTTAAAATGCAACATTTACATATAGTAATAAATGTGTTAATTGTATGCAAAGAGTTGACTGGTATAACAACAGCCACATTGATGTATAGCGAGTTTCTTGTTCTCTCGCTGCATGTTTTACGTTACTGTTCCTTGTATAAATGACATAACTCTTAAAACATAAATGCAATTTGCCAGCTGCTGTTAAGGTGGCAAAAAGGGAGACATGGCGTAGAAGGGCCATTTGGAACCGAGTGAAAGACTTCCGTGCTCTAACCGGAATTCCTGTTACAAGTCCCATTATATCTTTAATTGTAGGAAGCGAAGAAAAAGCACTGCAAGCAAGCCGGTACCATCTCTCTCTCTCTCTTTCTCACACACACACACCCACACACAAACCCACTCAGATTCACTTTGCTAATTAACTAAATTTTATAACCATTCTGGAGCAGGCATTTATTGAAATCTGGCTTTCATGTGACTGCAATTAGACCTCCAACTGTGCCTCCTAACTCATGCAGGTTTTATTTCCTAACAACCCTCAACGTCCAAACTCATTTTCTTTTATGATAAAACTTGAAGAAACGAGAAAGAAAGATCCTTTGCTACGATATTTATTTTTATTTCTTATCTCTCATTCTACACCCTCATATAATATCAAGGTTAAAAAACCCATGTCCTTAAGCATAAAATGTAATAAAAAGAGATAATTAATAATAAATAACGATACTAGAGTATAGTAAATATTGTTTTTTCTGTGCATTAACAAAAGAATGCTTTTCTCTTGTCTTGTGATCCAGGCCTTGAGTCTGTTCATTTTCACTACTGCTACTTAAAATAAGTAAACAATAGGTAATAACAAAATCATAGAAAATCCAAGGACCAAATGTTATGATTTGGAACGAATTTCTCTACCGTGTGGCACTGTAAATTCTCAGATGTATGAGTTTTTTTGAGCATGATAGATCAGCTTATTATGGTTTACCATTTCTTCATTCCATGAAATGTGTTCTGAGTGATCTTTTATTATAGTGATTTCCTTATGCATGTCAGAAATTTGTTGTCTGTCATGTTTATTTCCTAGGCTTCGAGTAGCTCTGAGCGCAGCCCATACAAGAGAAGATTTGGAAAAGCTCACGGCTGAACTTTCTCAGTGCATCAATTTCCAAGATACTGGCATATATTGCTCCAATGGATATGCGAGACTCTGATATATGATCCTGTCAAGATGATATAATCACTATAGTGTGGTCAATCCAAATCACCCACATTCATCAGAGTAAAATGTAGAGAAACGAGATGATAGATGACGAGAGGATGTGGGCCTCATAAATAGTTAATTTCTCTCGTAACTAATGTCTCTTGAAATGTATGAATGTAATAGATTTAAAATGATAGCTCGTTACCATACCAGTAATGAGCAACTCATTAATTGCTGTGTTATCTGCAGTTCAAATTTGCTGTCAGTTGTGTCACTCTTTGCCAGTGTTTTTTTAATGGGTTAAGGAGTAAATTTGTCCTGAAAGTTTTTGTTTTGAAGTAATGTTGCTTCGGAAGTTCTCTTGTGTTTTTTCTTGGAACTCAATATCGTCACGAAAGTTTTGAAACACAGCTATGTTGCCTCATCTCATTAAAAAACTAATGTTGACTGTTAAAAAATTTATGTTGACTGCTGACATTTTTAACGGTGATGGGCAACATTGTTTCATTTCATCATTTTTGGAGGAACTTTGAAACCAGAAAAACTTCTGAGGCAACATGACTCATGAGTGAAATTTTCGGAACAAATTTGTACTTTAATCCTTCTTCCATCGGGTTTTATGATGTTGACAAATCCATATGTTAACATTCTTAATTAGATGTGATGCAGTGTTTCTTTACAAACCTTTTACATTGGATGTTGTTGATTCTGGTCTTTGATTAGGTAATTTGGTTGAATCTAAGGGATCTGAGCAGAGCTCTAGCACGATCTCATTCCTTCTCCAAAATTTCAAGCAGTCAAAGGGCATCCAAGCTCATGGTCGTTAAATTGATCAAGGGGGATTTGATTCGCTTTAAACTAGACTTCGCCTACTTGAATGTTGTAGTACATGGAAGGCAAAAATGAAATGGAAATATAAAATTAAAAAATATATATTTGTTATTTTAGGAAAAATCCCTTAAAATGACTCTTAAATAACCTAAATTTTTATTTAGATCACTAAATTTGTCAAATTCTCGATTTGGTCACATAATTGAAAGAGAAATTTTAAAATTTTATGAACTGATATTAATATATATTTTATTAGAAATCCAAAAAGAATTATGAATTAACATATTATATTTCGTACTACTTATTGTCTTTAATATAATAGTAAGTTGGCTAATTTGAGTAGATTAAAAAAATTTGTTAAACTAGTTATTTGTAATAAATGTGTTATCTTCCTTATAAGACCTTTACTAATAATGTGTATTAGCGAGAATTATTATTTGATGGAACTAACATGTGTAACTATTACAAAGACTATTTTAGAAAAGATGGATGAATACGAGAAACAAAGTAGATTGAGGTCTTATATTTATAATCAAATTGAATGTCAAATTAGCTCTTACATTAAAGATCAGAGGTAGTACAACTTTAAAATTTAACAAGTTCAATTATGTAGTTAACAAGTTTCAATTATAAATTAGCAGTTATATGTTTCTATAACACACTTACAATAAGTTTTTAAATAAAATTTGATCACAATACAACTATAAAAATTAACATATTTTATTTCGTAGTTAGTACATTTTAATTATAAATTAACAATTTTATATCTCCATGACATACTTCTTACAATTAACATAACAAAATCCACCTTCAAATTTTAGTGACTTCAAATTATGTTTTAACACATTCCGCGTACCTATTTACAGCATATGTAGCCCTCGTAGCATTCTTTATATTGAACTTCCATGACCAAGCAAATGTAATTAACTATCCCACATACACATTCATCATAAACACTACATTACAGACACTTACACACAAACGCGTGAGTGTGCACGCACCAAGTTATGACCAAGCAAATGCATTCTTCAAATTATGTTTTAACACATTCCGCATAGCTATTTACAGCACATGTAGCCCTCATAGCATTCTTCATATTGAACTTTCATGACCAAGCAAATGCAAATAGTTATCCTATATATACATTCATCATAAACCCTACATCACAGACAGTTACACACAAACACGCGTGTGCACACACCAGCCTTTCAGCTCACAAAGCAACACTCCACACTTCCCGCCTTCCTCGACAAAAACCCCTATCTTCCACAATCCATGCTAAGAAAAATGAAGAATCAAGATAGCATGATGACACTATTAGAATTAAGGGAGGAATATTTAATATAAAAACTAACTTATTATTGCCATCTTGATCGATTTTTCAAATCTGCAACAGTAGATGTCAAGTTTCCCTCGTTGAGAGCTTTTATGCAATGTGAGAATGATAATCTTTCTATTTTTCTAATGAAATGGGCATTAGGATCTTTTAGCAAGAGTTTAAAATTCCTATTTGAAGCATATGACCAAATTATGGTTTTGACAAATTCAGTGACCTAAAGAAAGATTTGGGTTACTTAAATATCTTTTTAATAAATTTTCCAAACATTTTATTGTACTAAATATTTATTGTCTGATCTAAATGGAAATTCAAATAACAACTTAAAATTTTTTATTTTCATTTAAAAATTTGTTACCTTCATCGATATTTAAAGAAAAAGAAGAGGGAGAGATCGGGGAGGAGAGGAAGATAAGAGAAAGAAGAGAGAAAAAGGAAAAGCTTCAACTTTCATGTGAGACCAAGCTTCAAGACAAGGTATGTGTAAGGAATTGAAAGACACGCAGCGGAAAATAACTTTAAAATTTTCCAATCCCTTGCCTAGATCTACCGATTGTGTTTAAGTCAAGTAGTAAGAGGTGTTACCTGCGGTATTCGAATTGTTGGTGGCTCGAGGATTCTGACGTTCAGGATGCCTATACTGAAGTCGACAACTTAGATTAGCTTCCTTTATCGGTATCCACACGAACAGTGTTCCAATCACGAACGACGTGTTAGCGTCTCTTGTCCTTTTAGGGCTTTTTTTGAGAATCCATCCTCACCATCTCTCTTTTGGCCGTTTCTTATCTGCAAACCTTTTGCACTCTCACACCTTTAAAACCCTAACTCCTAAATATCAAATATATAGGATGCTATCAGTATTATGAAGGATATTAGATTTCAGAATTAATCCTCAATTAATTTCGAAATTATTACAATATCATATATTGCGTACTCTGATAAAAATCAATTAAATAAATACGGTTTATATATTAAATCCGTCCTACAGATTTAATTCACCTATTCATTTAATTCAAAATAAAGATATGGCAGAATTATATTTGATTTATTCTAATAAATCAAATTTGAGATATTATATTATACCATATCAATCTAAAACTGATATAGATTTAATTTATCCCAATAAATCAAATCTAAGATATCATATCAATCTAAATTTCAAATTTAAAAGTGATAGAGATTTAATTTATCCTTATAAATCAAATCTTATAAATATCTCTTATATCATATAATATATATATACGTGAATTTATATATATATATACACGTCCACCCTAGATTATTCATTGAATCTGGACATATCTTAGATTCAATGAATATGAACATCATAGCTCGTGTTGGGCTATTTTGTGTGCGACCCTGTAAGCCCATATGAAGTTGGCAGTGGGCCATTTACTATAATGACTCACAAGTCGTAAGCGGTCTCTAACAAGACATCACGACTACTCAAATCATATGAGGATCGATGAACGATGTAACCTTTCATACAACCATATCACGTCCCTTTTGTCACACGACATTTTGGTCATGGATAAGGCATGGAGAACGTCATCCTCCTATTCCTGACCGTTACTTTCTCGATCCCTGAGTAGTCTGAGTATAGAAATGGAACTACCTTTCCATTATAGTATGGCCATACATTTCTCAGACTCACTCATCGAGAGGCCCAGTAATATCTCTCTACGAATGTGAGGGATAAATTCCATCTTGACCATTCACATTCCTCCATATGAAAAACCACTAAACCTGAACATAGTCTTTATGATCACTCGGTCAAAAGTGACTTTTGGCTAGGTCAAAGCTGAGTGTTTCTCATGTAGGAATCCATAATGATCTCAGGTCAAAGGGCATAGTGACATGGTTTGTATATGAGAGAAGCTTATGACTTAACCCATACAGCTCTCTCATAGCGGGTCGGTCCAACACCTTATACTCTTACATGTGCCTATGACTTTGATTTATATCTCTATACATCTTCAAAGTCATACTGGTCTTATTTCATCTCTACTCCCACATAAATGACCGACCAGGGACATTTAGAATAAAATCATGAGTTATCCAAGGATAGTTATCATAGTAAACATGCAAATAATATGATAACATAATTAAGAAATTCATAAATCAACAATGTTCATAACACAATGATTGGCCCCTAGGGCACAATTTCCAACAGTATGGTTATGGATCTTGAAGTAAATTATATTGCTCTTCTTGTTGAGCTTGGCTATGGTTTTGGTTGAGTTTTGGAAGCATGAAAACCTAAGGGAAGATACGGTCCAATATTTTTTAAGTCATGAAAAAGATTGATTGATGTTTAATGATTAAAAGGAGGAAAGGAGTTGCAATCAAGTGGTTTTATGATGAAAATGAAAAGAATCCAACTTCCCCTTATGTTGTGTGTATTTTCAACCTGACTTAGGGTTCTTGATAGGGTTAATTTTGATGATTTCGATGCTTCCAATGTATTTAGAATAAAAACTTGTGTGAAGTAAAGATGAGAAAACAAGTTTAAAAGCATTAGAATTGAAAATAGAATTTTGAATGCTAAACCTTATAGTTTCTGCCAAGCTTGTTCAAGGAAGAGGAATTGGATTTTGTTTAATTAGAGATTGAAAATGGATTCCACATGCAAAATTATATGGGAATAGCATGTGAAATTAATTTTAGAAAGATTGGAATCAAAGCTCAAATATTAGAGGTTAATATATGTTAAAGAGCAAAGTATGAATATCATTAATTCCATGGCTCTAATAAATAAATGGCACTGATGTGTTTATGTGATTAGGGTCATGTGACATCAAAGAAGATGAATAAGAAAGGTTGATCAAGCAACCTTGATGGTTGAAAGCAAAAAGAGTAAGAGGAAAGATTGAATGTAAAAGGATAAAGATAGCAAAATTTACCCTGCTCTTATATGCTTGGTATTTGTTTGCATGTATGGCATATTTGTATGTTTATATGATTTTATGATTGCATACATTGTGAATGTGAATATATTTAATTGTGAATGTGAATATATTTAAAGTATGCCATATGCCTGTGTGTTTTATGATAAATGTATGATGATTTCCAAGCATGTTATTATGTTATAAAGATGTTAAGTAGTAAGCATGTCATGAATACCAAACTTGCCATGTATGTTTGAGTAGTTATTGTTTGCTATTGAGATTC